TAAAATTAAAGAAAGCGCACTAATTTGACTAAATCAAAATAATTGTGTTGCTTCATGTTCATTTAATTTTAGTCATAGATGGTTACCTATGCTAAAATCTGAAGTAGACCAGAGAAACATATACTCATAGTTCTTGATTACTTTTTGATAAATAATTCGTTCTTATTGCGAAATAGGAGCACTATTTATAAATCTGTAATAAAAAACGTGAGGAAATTCTGTCTTTTTTAAAGACAAAAATGTTTGAGGCGAAATACCCAAAAAGAAGTTTGTAAAAAAAAATAAATCCGCCTCAACGATATAGAACTTATCAACAAACCTATTGCTATTCTAGCTAAACCAGGCCGCAAAGAAATATAACATGAGCATATCGATACCGAAACCTAAATCTTATGACCATAAGCAAGGAACCGATACCTTTAAAGCCTACTCGCCGGACCCATCAGTCCCCCCACAATACTACTACTATTATAATTAAACGCCTTCTACTGTCGCACTGACCAATGGTTAGAAGTATCCACTTGTATGAGTATGAGCAGCTTTTATCTATTCAATTCATTGACTTGTATGTGTTATCACAATAAATTGCCAAATTCGTTTACCATAAATCACCTAACAAAGCAAGTAAACCTTGATCCACTTTTGTCGTTCGTGCTGTTTATGGCCCTAAATGTAAATTCGTGTAAATACCTACGCAGCCGAGAACTGGTCATTCCTTAATTAAGAGATATAAAGGATACATTTGTGGAAACATGCGACGAAAGAATTACTTAAATGAAAGTATTGACGCCATTCTTCTGCTGTTTACGATGAAGTTGGTGCTTAAAAACTAACTTTAGAGTGTCTGACCGGGCGAAATGACTGCGATCAGTGTTCCGAAGTTTAATTTAAACATCTACTCAACGTTAAGTCTGATTTGGCGTTTTTCGTTGCAATCAATAAACGTGTGTAAGTTGTCGGCCTTAGAATGGTGAAAAATAAAGTGCAACCTGGGGAAAAAGCACCCATTTTCAAAGAAAGACACCGCCATAATATGGAATATTTTTACATTAAACAAACATTAAAGTTGTTGGAAAAGAAACATGTGGTGTATCCAATGACAGTGGTCCTGTTAGGTGAGACAATGTCTTCAGTTGCTGCTTTCTTAAGTCTAGTAGTATTTTCTGTTTAGTTCTAGTTATTCTTGGTCACATCTACTCGTTAATAGGAAAGCCAACGCCGTTTCCAAACCAGCATGTAGCGGTAAAAACGGCCGAGCACGTGGCAGATTTTTGCTTAACGGCTAGTATTATCATAATTATTTTGTATTTGCCAAAAAATGCAGAAAACTTTTACCAATTATTCAGTAGTTTGTACCCTGAAGGAAACAAACTGTTCGGACCATTACTGGCGATGAAAAAGCACCATTTTTGGCGAAATTTTTTGATTTGCAACGTGTGCATAGGAAGTTTAATAACTTTCGACGCATCGTTCTTCTTAGTGAATTTCGGCTGGAGTACATACAAATATCTAGTTTTTGGAGATGTTCAGTTTTACTTGTATAACCTGGTACTGCTGCTTCTGTTAACTCTAGCAAGAAAACTGGAACTAAGGTTTGCAGAATTAAATGAACTGCTGGAGTACAAAACTGACAATTTTTTAAAAACCACCAGCAACAATAAAACAAGCGAAAACGAAATAGAAACTCATTTAAGTTACATTTTGAGTTCCGAACATTTTTACAGTGTGAGAACTTTCAAAATGATGCATTACGAGCTGTGTAAATTGGTCAAAAGGTTCAATGAGATGTTTGGAAGGATAATTTTATTCACCATCCTGTTCAGTATAGCTAACATTCTTGCAAAGGTCACTTTTATTATTGATTTTTACGTGACACCGAGGAACGACTCAGACAAGAACAAGTGGGCTCTTTTTATGGGCATCATCTGCTTTTGGATTTTTGCTAATATGGTAAAGCCTATGTTCTATGTGCATTTCTTCCGAAAATATTCCACTCTCTTTAATTTACAGGCTCAATCATTTCTATTTGCTTTTTATGGTGAGCAGATCACCAAGGAAGGAGAGAAAACCACCCGGACATGTTTTTACTTGCTAAACAAAGTTCCATTTCAGCCAAAAAACAATGACGAAGCTTTCCTACAAGAAGAGTTGAAATGCTTTGCCTTCCAAAGCTATTCTCATATTCCCTGCCTATCAGCAGGTGGCTTTTTTGATGTTAACTTTAGGGTATTAGGTTTAATGATCTCGAGCGTTACTTCTTATTTAATGGTAATAATACAGTTCTTATTAAGGCAGCAAACAAGCTAGAAGGTTTCTCGTGAAATAATACGTTAATATTTAATATAAGAGTGTTGTTATCAAACCCTCCCAGGTTCTTCAATAAAAAAACCAACATTTGGAATTAGAAATAAACGGTTTTGAAATTGGATATCTTTTTATTTACTTACCTAAGACCGGTAGGATCTTTTACCAGAGTTTTGAACAACTTAGCTTTATTTATATTGACACGACTGCGGAAGAATCATCCCTAAGTTTACTCTCCTTGTGGATACTCCATAATGGCTCCAATCGTCTCACCTATCACGAAATCTACCGTGTATTGCTTATACAAGCAATATGATTCTTATGTGAAAGTGAAGTTCTGAAGTCAATTTAATAGAAACAAGAACTACGTGTTAGTTCTTGTTCATATCTTATTCTTCATATCATGGAAAACAATTTAAATGTTACGTGTATTGAACTTTTGGGGCAACTCTGTATCCGTGTTTGTTGCATCAACATGACAAGGTTAAAAACTACTAATAGTTGACGAATATAACAAAATACAATTCAACAATATCTAAAAGCGATCTTCGAGGGAAAATGTATTGTCAAACTTACCGAAAGCTGCATTGTAGCACCTGGGAAGAAAAAAAAGGTGTTGAGTGTACAGGAAATAATGCTAAGCTGCATTGAAACTGGAATGTAAATTTGCCGTGAAATATTTGTTCGCTCTCCAAACCTCCGACAGTTTTTCTCAAAAAATGCGTATATTTTTACGGACACCCTGTATATTAGAGATCTATATTACCAGTTTTCTGCATGCTGGGGCTCTTTCCTGAACCATTTCCGTATCGGCTGTGATTCACTTGCATCGAAAGTTCACTTTAGATAAACCAATCAACACACTTTTCACCACCAAAATGCCAATATTTCGATAGGCGATATATTCCCGATTAAATATGACCACGACTGGCAATACACGCAAAGAATGCCATCGAATATTTGCGAGTTTTTCAAAAAAATCTGGCAATTAGTACAGGACAAAGATGATGATGTAACGTTTTACTTGTCTGAATGATTAACATTTTTTTTTATTGAGTTTGTAGCCGCACATAAAACCCGGACAAATATAAACAACTCAGATCAGACACACAATAGGTATTTTATGTTCAATGAAAACAGGATTTTTCTGGAAGGTGGTAAATTTTTTGACAGTCCTGAACCTTTTTTTCGAAGCATTTCTCCAATTTTCAAAACATTATTTTAACTAAAGCCATTCTGTTATGTTCTCTATTATAAAAAATATACAACAATATATATAATCCATCGTACCTTTCTCCCGATGTTTCAAGAAAACATAAATTTTTCAGAACTCACCATCAATATTAGAGGAGTTAACATGTTTCCTTAATAAAAGTTTGACCAGATCGTCTTCTTTTGAACCAGAGAATGAGTAAGTATCGATACTTTCTCATTATCGTATCGTCCCTAAGTAAACCGCATATGTTCGACGACGTTTTTTAAGATTTGCAGGACATAATAAAAACTAAGATCTAAGACGTTGCCTCGCTGACATGTTTATTAACAAATATCTGCCTGAATACATATCCGTTTTTCCCTAAAGCATATCGTTTTCGATATCGGCATAAGTCTCCGCTGTAAATGAAAACTTGCAAGTTCAGCCAATCGGTTCAAAGTTACTGTTACTTGAAATTATAACAATGTAACCTTCTGTTTTATAAAAACGATTAGAGCAAATTAAGTTTTACGTTATTTGTTCTGAAGATTACGTATATTAACCTTGCGTCATAAGACAATACCCCATTCTCAGTATATAGAGTTCCATGGTGCAACGATATGCTCATTTTAAATCTTTCTAAGTTGCTTTAATAAAGTTTACATTAACTGTTTTCATAAAAAAATTATAGCAATTCCAAACGTTGATACTTTCAGGTAAAGGTTCCAAATAGATTTTTCTTAAGTTCCTTTTACTCATCGAGGTGACTGAATCATGTCGACAAGTTGGCACGGTATGTATGTATATTTACCATCAGGACTTACAAACAAACACTCATTTTAGCAAAACCTATATGCTGATTTCTGGTATGCAAGCTTTAAATTGCTAATTGCTTTAAACTGCTATTTTCTAGCTCGAAGGGGGTGGTGGCGGAGGAGCAGATAAAAGACTGCTAACATCTATACCTGGTGGTGGAGGCGGTATCGCATTAGCTCCAGTGGGCCAAAACGGTGGGGGTGCTGGAAAATGAATTTCTTTAACTTTAATCAACTTTTATAAAACATGTGCTCTATGATTACTATTGTTTATATCAGTAACAGTTATGGTATCGATCATTAGGATCAGACCCGAAAGATGGTAAAAGAACATCATTTATAATGGTGTATATTAGAAATAATTTTCAAATCTGTCAAATTACCTGCAGGAGGCCAAGATGACATTGAAGCCCCAGGTGGAGGAGGTTGTCCCGACCAATGAGACATAAGTGGTGGAGGGGTAGTGCTAACAGCTCCTAAATAACAGTACGTATTATTACAATACTTCAATACATAATTATTAGTAAACCGCGGGAATGTGCGAATTGAATTGAGATAAGTTTCGCTCGCACATACTTCTGTAACCTGTACTTAAAAATAGTTTTGCGACTGATGCAAAAATCGCAAACTTGCTAATAATTTTATAATGGTTATATGTTAATCCTATTAAATGTTCCCGGATTATCCATATATTCCGGTTCCATTATACAACGGTATTTCAAAATTTGTCATAATGCCTATTATGGTAATTAAAAAACATATGTACCTGGAGGAGGAGGTGGCGGTGGAATTGCAGAACTCATCGATGGTGTCGGTCCCCATGGAGTAACCCATGGTGGGGCCATTGGAGGAACACCAGGAGGAGGCATTAAAGGTCTTGGGGCCGATTGTGGAGAAAATAGATTGAAAGATGCAGAACTACGCTTCTGCATATTATCACCTGAAAAATAGACCAATCAGTGTTGTATTTTTTTGCTAACAGTTAACAGTTAAAAATATGTTGCTACTTACCATAGGGTGGAGCAGGAGGCGGTGCTTCACCGAGTTCAGCCATCAAAGACATGTATTCTGAAGAAAAAAAAAAGAAAATATGTAAACTTAAATAACACATTGTTTTAGCCATCGAATACAACTAGAATAATCAGTTATGGATATGGTGTCAATCATTTAAAATCAGACCCGAAAGATGGTATAAAGCATCATGTAAATTTGACATTTTTAATATATAATGAACACTTTGAAACTGGATATTAACTACCTTCATCAATTTTAGCTCTATCGCCTGCCATCGGAGGGCCTCCTTGTCCTGGTCTCTTTTGTCTACAATCTTTTGCTATATGGCCTGCTGCTCCACAACTCGAACACACGATATTGTTGGTCACATTTGGTTTATCGGGACACTAGAAATACGGTTATTTAAAAACACGATAATTGGCAGTTCCAATCACATGGTACATTCAAATTACTCAGTGATATGTGTTCTCATTCAAACATTTTCAGCCCCGAAAGATGGTTAAACATCATGTAAATAACTACTGTTAGGTCGCTCAGTTTTTTTTCAGTCAAATTCGTTGATACTTACCAACCATGACTTATGATCAGTTGCCCCACAATTACTGCATCGCATGCCATCATTTTCCCGCAGAGTACCGTTCAGTTGTGCCAACTCTCTTAACTGCATTCGTCTTAAATCATTCTGATTCTCGGGTACTTCCACACCTTGTCTGATAACTTCTTTGATCTACGAATTATGTTCGGTTACATCAAATTGTTACTTTTTTATACTGCAAACTTACCCTTTCGACCGCCTTTTTGACGCATTCTGGATTAGTGGCCGTGATATAAGCGTGGAGGGGCTCGTCTTCTCCTGGCAAAGGCTGACCATCTTTCCTACCAACTTTCCCTTCCTTAACACTGCCTTTACCGCGAATTATAATTTTAGCTCCCGTCTCCTTTTCCATAGCTGCAAGCAATTATTAATTATATACAAATAATATGGAGGAAAAACAGTTGCAGCAATGACAATAATTGTAAATCAGTAAAGGTATGTTGTCAATCTTTCTTAATATCAGACCCGAAAGATGGTATAAAACATCATGTTTAGTAAATATTAATATGTAACTATTACTTTCTATTGTCATATATTTTTTTGCTTACTCTTTAACGTATTGCCCCTGGGTCCAATGAGAAGTCCGACGAAATTTATCTCCGGATGCTCTTCTTGTGGAATCATGACTTTGTCGCTCACTCGGATCACTGGAGGCCTGCAAATTTAAAAGTGTGCTATGTTGAATGCAGATGAGGTATGGGTTTTTTAATTTAAAAAAACAGGTTGTGCACATCAACAAACAATGTACTATGGTATCTATGGAGGATGTGAGAATCTAACGCGTTTTTTGTATCAACCAACAGCGCGAGTAAAACTTGACATGGCAATTATAAAATGGAAGTTGCATGTATTTAAGAACTCACTTGTAATCAGCAGGTGGTTTGAACTCTGGATTTATGGATTGCATCTTCAAAACGAGATTATGTCGATCTTCCTCCAAGCGTTTTCTCGTCCTAAACTCTCTCGTGTTCAACCTTTTACCATCACTGCTGTAGATAGGCTCGGGCGACGGTGATCTGTTGCAACAAAAGCCTATATGTAATTTTGATCCCTTTGTGCTCGTTGCCGTGTAAGTGCATAAAAACGCGAACAACTTGGCAATTACGATATTGGAAGATCTCTTACAGCCCAAAATTGCAACTAGCAAACTTTCAAATTGAACTAAGAAACAACTAGCACAGATTGTCGTGTTTTGACTAAAATCTAAAGCAAAAAAGACATACTGTCAGAACTCTAGAGGATATCATACAGAAGGAATCGAAATTGTAGTTCATCTCCAATCTGGCTTCGTTATGAATTTATTGATATGATTGATAAGTAAAAGGATAGAAATATAGCTTGTCGTTACTTTGAAATGTATGCAATTGGGATGATAAAGTAATTTATCTGATAAGCTTGTATATTAATTTTGAACGTACATGAATTAAATGAAAAATCAGAACATTCATATATACACGGACTTTAAAAAAATGATTCGTTTTTCGTAAAAATTGCATATCATAAATCTTATGTCGATTCTAACCGTTGAATTCATAATTTTAGACGACGTACAATTAAATTTAGATACAAAATACGAATATCAATGAATTCACAATTCTTCAAGTATCTATTTAATATTTTTCAACTCCTTGCTTTTTTGATTAATGATTAATTTCACACCGAAGCCAGCCCCCCAAGTATTTTAAGCATTCTGTGTGGTATCGTTTATAACAACCACTGTCTGAACACCCCATATTATAATAATTAAATCGTCAGATTTGGAAAACAATGATTATTTAACGTAAAACAAGAACTCCAAGTCAGATTTCTAAAAATAAGAATAAAATTTATGTTTTATAAAACTACTACTACCAACTTGTACTACCAACTTGTACATTAAAAAGTGAAGCGTAGCTTTTCTTAACGACGCAACTTGTAAATTATCTCTTCAGTCAGTTGAATCCCTTTCTTAGTAAAAATGTAATGGAAAATCTATTCCGAAAATTTGGACATAGAAGACCATCCAATAGCGACAACGCACTTTTCACGAATTTCGACCAACATTTCATTAGTTAACTGAGATAGATTACACGGCAAGAAGCAGCTTTTTCACGAATTTCATAAAAAGTATCTTAAAATGTATTTAATATTAGCCGTGTTATACAAGTAATTATAAAATTGCAATTTAAGTCTACCACTATAGATTGCTTTTAAAATGTTTAGTGAGTAAACATGGCCAATACTGTCATTTGCAATACTGAAGAGTATCTGTTTCCTAGAGAAAAAGGTTAATTATTCGCTGAAAATCTAAAAGGGATTATTATTAGGCGCTGAAAGTAAACGTTCGTATACTGCCTGAAAATTAATTTTGGATTAGTTAGGCTGAAAATAATCATTTAATTAAGTTTATTGTCGAAAGGACTTATGTTTTTTTGCTAGAACAGCTAGTATTACTTTTTCTGGAACAGAATATTTTGATTATTGATATTATTAAAGTTTACCTTACTAATTAGGGATGGATAAGCATATTATATTTGATTGATAATTATCGCTTCTAAATGTGTTTCACATTTTACTATGCTGTTTGAACGCGATTTACTTTACTTTAGCAAACAGTTTAGCTGCTGCAAATACAGAATACATTTATTCCATTGGATAAAACGAACTAAACCATCGATAAATTCTGTCACATGCAACAAAGTAATTCTTTTCCATCGCTAATTATTGGGTAAAAATGAGTATTATAAAAAGTAAGTGTTGATGTCAAACCACTTTTGGACTCTTTTGATGCAAAGCCATCTTCAAAGAACTCCATAAGGACCACCGTCTAAGCTAAATGGTCAGTGGAAAACGGTGTAGAAGTTTCAATGACAAACCTTTCTTCCGGGTTAGCAGAGATTCCCAAGTCGCCGGAACGTAGTTTTCTGCTCACTTCCTCAATTTGTAGTTGCACTGAAATGAAACGGGTTAGCGAGGGCAAATGCCCCTTTGTTAGAAAAGATTATACAAATATATAAATAAATAATCAATTAAATGCCCACAGTTTTGGGAATGTATTTAAATTCAAGTGGTAGGTTGACTTTAATCCATTTATGTAGTTATAAACCGAGTGGCAAGTGAAAAGTTCGTCCTTTAATTCTCCGTGTGTGTATGGAAACGGCCCATTATTTCCTAAACTAAGCCAGCTAGGAAAAAAGATTAATATTTAAAAAATCACTTCACAAAATGAGTCCAATAGCCACAGGAAAAAAACTTTTGTTCCTTCTAAGATAGCACCTTGTAAACCTTGTAAATTGACGTACAACCAATTGTGACCATAAACAAGCGAAAATGAACGGCAAATATGCGAAAATATACGTTGCCAAAACACAAGAGGATTCAAAAACAAACCAGGATTATTATAGCAATTAAAATTGTCTAAGGAAACTCGACATACAGGGTGTTAGAAAAATGGGTTAGGAAATTTTAAAGGGTGATTCAACATGCTAAATTAATGGCAGTAAGTCATGTAAGAAAAATTCGAAATCTGAATATTTACCTAGTTACAGATTAACAAACTTAATTTTTTTCTATCTAGTTTTGACCTTTTCTTAACATTTCTTCGCCGATCAAATTGAAAATTGGTACAGAGTTTTAGCTTAGTAATCTTTACCTTTCTCATCAAAAATTGTTTTTCCACTTTGCCACTAGTTGGCACTTTTATCTGTAATCCAAATTTAATTGCCTATATTTTATTCTAGTCGCGTCAAATATCGCCAAAATAAATTATCTCAGAATTTTTTAAACATCAACTATAAATAAAAAAAATATTTTTTTTAAACATTACATTAAATACTAGATAAAAAATGTGTTCTTAACACGACTCGAAATTTTTTTTTAACAAAATGCCAAATTTGACAATTTATTGTAATTATTGCATTACTGTTCATATTAGACTAAATTTTCGTTAAGAGCACATTTGTTGTCTAATATTTTCGAATGTTTATAATCGGTATTCATTGTTGCGATATTTGGCGTGACAAAAAAGATACGCAGAAAATCAAATTAGGATTACAGATAAAGTGCCATCTACCAAAGTACCAATTTTCAATGTAATCCGCAAATAATTGTCCAAAAACAGGACAAAAAAAAAGAAGTTTGATGAGCTGTAACTCGAAATGCACTAAGATTTCGAATTTTTCTTACATAACTTACTACCATTATTTAACGATATAGAATCACCCTTAAAAATTTCCCAGCGCATTTTACATCTTGTATACATTTTTGATTTTTCGTTTAATGACTGCGAAATGTGGATATAAGAATATGCATTAAAAACTGCTTACTTTGAGAAAGTGTAAACATTGCAACAATGGGACTATGTTTAAATGCAATTCTTGGGTACTAGTAGATGCTTTACTTTTTCAAATTTCTAGTATTTTAAAAAATAATTCGCCAAGGTTCAAATTACCAATCTCGAACTGCCTACTAATAATTGTTTTTTCTTACCTGACAATTCACAATTAAAACAAACGTCCTTTAATAAACGAATTTCAAACTTTTGACTTGATGACGTTTACAAAAAAAGATGACCTACAAGATTTCCTTTAAAAATATACGTACATACATTCATTATCTCAATCGACCAAATATATGATTCTCAACTTTCATCACTTTTCTCTGAAACATATATGTTATAGTTTCTTTATGTGTTTTACACAATTTGTCAATACAGCTCACCACACCTGCAATTATCGTTTAATTTCGGCGCATATAAATATAATTCTCTCCGTTCAGGTAACAAAACAATACTTACCAAATAGAAAATAAAACTATTAAAAAAATACTTACACAGATATGCATATTCTTGGTCTTTGTTCAAATTAGGAGGCAAAATTGTAGGCATTCCCGGAATGAAAATCTTTTCATGTTCACTACCACCCCATCTTGACGGTCTCTTTCTTCTTCTCTCCGCGGCACTCTCGGATTCCTGACTACCTACATAACACAACATCCACAGTTAAGTCGGACTTCTCGATCGTGGTAACAGGGTGATAAAGAGTTTAACAATCAAATCAATTGGAAAATCATTAATATAGCAAAAGATTGCCAAAATTGAAGCCTACAAATTTTTTACCGAATAATTACAACGGCAATCAGACATTATTGCAACTAGCTGACAAACATTTCGACGTTACACCACAGTTGTGATTAGTTTAAGATTCTGCTGCTCTTGAGCACTTTAAATGTATAACAATGTCGAAGATACGTACTTAAAATTATGCATGAAAGTAACCGCAATTGAAGTCATATTGAAATTTCCGGTTATGGGCAACAATTAAAATTGTTTTGAGTTTGATAGAAACAAGTGTTAGAAGGTTTCGCTTAGAATGTCACGATACAATTTGAAATAATTAAAAATAATTGAACTAAATTGAAAATTGAAAAAAAAAAACTAATTGAAAATAATGAAATATGATGTTGGGAAGTGAGGTTTAAACAGTTTTATGATAAATCGCATTTAATGATAGAACCAGGAGAACCTACGGATTGAAATGCAGGTATTTAAAAAAAACAGTTTGATGTTGTCCCATTATTTGTCTTAGAAAATGAAGTCAACATTTTTTGCCCTTGAGATAACCAAAAACGAATTAAACTTCAAATTGGAAAAAATCAGGTGCGCCACGTGTTTTGTAAATCCGTTAAACAAAAGAACTATTTACCGGTTGAATGATTAGAGTTCTCTCCTTGGGCTTGCAGAAAGTTGGCATAGTTTCTTGAAGCAGCTAATGTCGCCAAAGTATCTTGAATAAGCTTTTCTCCATCGATTTCTGGAGGAGTTGGCTCCCGTTTCCTTGAAGGAGTACGGCTGCGACTGCGATCGCGATAGCGGTCTCTGGACCTAGAAAAGAGGATCAGGATAATTGGTAGTAAACAGATGTGACAACTGGTTATATCAATTTCGATGATCAATCACACTTGTATCTGTATGATATTTCAATCCCTGACGTATCCATGAGAAAGATCTTTCTGGACGAAGCATTTAGCACAATTAGACKATAAGTACAGAAGTATACTATTAGATAATTAAATTTAGTCACTTCACACTTTACGCGGCTCATACTTAATAATATAAATATTAATGCAAATTTTACCCTAATTATAACGGGTAGATTCATTTAGTCTCATGTATTTTTTTGAAGCGAGTATTTATTRTACTACTTCGGCCAGCTAGGCACATCGAATCGCCCTYCTAYCAGTAGTAACTTCTACTAGAAAGTTGTTTCGAAGTATTGAAGGACTGAGCAATATAGAAACCTCCCCGAGGAAAYTAAAAAAACGTACCAGAAGTACRTCYATAGACGAAATAGTAGCGATKTGTCAGTGAAGGAAAGCAATATCTCRAAACACRGAAATTTTGAAATTGTTTAGTTGGGAAGGAACCGCGCAAATAATATATAAATTAAAAGAATTACAAAATGAACCTTGAAATGTGAAAACTTAAGCAAAATGCATAGGCAAAATTGGATAAAGATATARAAGAAAGAAAAAAATGTATTTGCTATTCCAAGATTAGATTTATTGYTTAAGAACTAAACTTCAAACAAAACTTGAAATTTTTCAATGATGAAGGTGGATTGTCTCTGGGAAACTAAACGCGTGGGTTACGGAAGACACGAAATACTTGTCACAGGTATTTTGGAACAGATATCGATATGGAACAGCCGGTACCTGTAACCGATATTTAAAATAACATGTGATTTTAAATAACAGGGCTCGCCTATGATGCTGCTCAGTAACAGTCAACATCTGGGATTTCGATATTTCAACAAAGCAAAAAGGCAAATACCTGCCTTTATGCCTTTTGAT